TCTCTTCCCTTCCCTTCCCTTCCCGTGCCATGGAACCTGATCCTCGGGCGGCAGTCGGACCCCGTGCCCAGGCGGCGAGTTGCGGGAGGGCGAGCTAAAGGGGGGGATTCGGTGCGGGATGTTCCCAGCAACCCGACCGGATTTTTAGGGAAGGCTGGGGATTTTGGGGAAGGCGTGGGGTTTTACCTGTCTTTGAATTTTTTGGGGGGTTTTGTTCCTGCTTTTCTCCCTCCCCAGGGTTCCCTCTGCCCACTGGTTCCCCCAGATTTTCCAGCCCCCTGGCCCCTCTGCTTTCTAGGCATTTTCTCAACGGAGCTCCCCATTCCCCTGGCAGGAATGAGTGAATGACATTGCTGCTACCAGAGGAGTTTGGGACCTTCCTTGTGTGACAGGCAATTCCCCCTCCCTGCACCCCTCATCCTTTTCATATTGATTGGACTTGCACAAAACCCCCACGAAAATAAAAGAGGCTGGGGATAAGAAGACAATGAGTCACAGTCGCTGTTGAGATGCTCACACCAAAATCACAAGAGAAGCATTTTTCCAAATGACTCGAGCCATGTGCTGCTGGGGGGTGGCAGGAGCAGAGGAGAGGCATTTTGCTTTGTGATGGAGGCCAACCCTAAGGGTGACACTCCTGTTATCAATAGGCTGCAAGTTTCATGTCTGTTCTTATTCCAAGGGAGCGGGTAAGAGCTCGTGAGGCACCACGGAAATGGCTGTTGCAGAGTCTGTGTTCACATCCACTAACCTCACCTTCGGCAACCAAAGCAGCTGCAACGTGCACAACCACCACTTCTCTACCAAAGTCACCTTCTCCCTCTTCTACATCGCCCTGCTGGTGTTTGGTGCCTGTGGGAATATCCTGGCCCTCTGCATCACCTTCCAGCGCCGGAAGAAGAAATTCAACTCCACCGACCTCTACCTGGTGAACCTGGCCCTCTCTGATGCCCTCTTCACCCTGGCACTGCCAGGCAGGATCGCCTACTACATCCTGGAGTCTGACTGGCCCTTTGGGGACTGGTTCTGCCGGGTCACAGCTTTCATTTTCTACATGAACACCTATGTGGGCATCTACTTCATGACCTGTGTGAGTGTGGACCGCTACATTGCCGTGGTGCGCACCAGGCACCCCGGCAGGATTCAGAAGATGAGCCGTGCCAGGGGCATCTGTGTCCTCATCTGGTCCTTGGTGTTCCTGCAGACGGCGCCGCTGCTTCTGCGACCTATGACGCGGAGGATGGGGCACAAGCTGACATGCATGGAATACTTCAACTTTGAGGAGATTCCCAAGCTACCGTACCTGCTCCTGGTGGCCTGTGTGCTTGGCTTCTTCCTGCCTGTGGGCATCATCATGGTGTGCTACGTGAGGATCAACCTCAAGCTCTGCCAGACAGCTAAGGAGAACCCGCTGACAGTGAAGAACGGACACCACCACCGTGCCTTCACCATCATCCTGGTGGTGCTGCTGGCTGTCCTGCTCTGCTTCAGTCCCTACCACATTAACATCGTCCAGTTCATGGTCAGGAAGATCCTCTACCAGCCATCCTGCCGCGAGCAGCAAGCCTTCAAGATGTCCCTGCAAGTCACGGTGGCATTCATGAACCTCAACTGCTGCATCGACCCCATCATCTACTTCTTTGCTTTCCGGGGCTACAAGCGGAGGCTGCTCCGCATCTTCAGGAACAGTGGCTCACTGGCCACCTCCTCCACTGCCAAAACTGCCTCCGAGAGCAACAGCAACAGCCACAGCCAGCCACACTGCTCCAACTCTGTCTAGCACCACGCCCCTCCCTTTTGCTTTGGCCTGTGGCTTATGGACCATCCCTGATGGCATGAGCCTGAGTCGAGCTGCAGGACCAGCACCTTCAACAGCCTTCATCACTCCCCTGCCTGGAGCCAGAACTCCTGCAAATCCAGCCTGTCTGGAACACAGCTCTGCCTGGCTCCACGTACCTGGCCCTGCACTCAGCACTGCTGCACCTGCCATCCCAGAGCATGGAGAGGCTCATTTTCATCCCAACCCCAGAGGAATCAGTTCCTGCAGCTGCTCTGGCTGGCAAACCCAGCTAGACATGTCCCAGCACTGCACCACACTCACCTCCCTGTGCCTGTCCTGCATCTCCTGTGGGGCTGGTAGCCACCATAGCTGTCCCTCTGCACTGCCCCTGGTGCACTGGGGCAGCATCACTGCAGGCCTCAGGGCACCCAGCATGGAACATATGGAATTAGGGCATTTCAGGAAAAGACTGGAATGTTACTTCCACATAGAACATTACCTACAGCTCCTACCACACTCACCTCCCTGTGCCTGTCCTGCATCTCCTGTGGGGCTGGTAGCCACCATAGCTGTCCCTCTGCACTGCCCCTGGTGCACTGGGGCAGCATCACTGCAGGCCTCAGGGCACCCAGCATGGAACATATGGAATTAGGGCATTTCAGGAAAAGACTGGAATGTTACTTCCACATAGAACATTACCTACAGCTCCTGCACCAAC